GTAAGGTGCCCACAGATACACAGTGCACTTAATGTTACATAAATGGTATATTGTCTGTAGCTTCAGTAACTTTCTCAGGATCATTTTTCATTTATTTGTATTAAAAGATAAAACTTTTAACTCTTACATATTCACTTTTCAAAGTACAAAAATAAATCTGTTTGTTTTAAAGATACAAGTAGGGTACAGTTCTACCTAGTAGTACATATTTCATGCTACTTTCAACTTTTCATGTAGCTTTCAACCAAACTATACAATAAGAGTTAAGTATTTGGGGAAAATAGCTGTAATAATGATAAAGTAAGGAAAGATATACAACCTCACTGGTAATCAAAGAAATTCAAAATAACACTCATGGGACTGAAAATTTTAAAAATCGGACAGTATCTACTACAAGAACCTAATCAGTGAAGGTGGGAACCCAAAGGAGCACTACTTTTGGAGATAACTGGGCAATATTTACTAAAATTGAAGCTACAAATACCTTTCAATCCAATAATTTCATTCATAGGCAGATACGCTAGGGAATCTCACATAGATACACAAGGAGAACTGGAAAAGAACATTAATAGCGCAGTTTTTTTACTGCAAAAACCGGAAACGACTGGGACCCACAGGAGAATGGAAATGAGGCTTACTCATCCAAAAAAGGATCACAAGCAACCGGAGTGAACTAGAACTACGTTTATCAACATGGGTGACTCTCAAAAATATTGAGTAAAAAAAGTAAATTACAGAAGAATCAAAAGTATACAGTACTACCATTTATATAAAGCTAATAAACACAATCTTTACTATGTTTAAAACAAGACAAGTATCAGTGACACCTGAGGCAGAAAAAGAATCACGCAACTGAGGAGGAATGCACAGAGGCTTCAATTATATTCGTAATAGTTTAGGTGTTAAACAGATGTTAGGCATATACATACTATTTTCTATGCCTCTTAGATAACTGAAGCGTTTCATAATATACATAAACAAACCACATTAATTTGGTCTAGAAAATCTCTTTGAATATTAGGTTGCTTATACAACTATTTTACTAAGTTTGAGAGAATATACAGCACATTATATACAAAACAGCACAAGGTCCAATTGTTTTAGTGAATAAAATTATTTTTATAATTATAATCAGCATACAGTTTACAATGAAATAAATGGTTCTTAAGGACCTGAAAATATAATTTCCCCTTTTAACAAGGCAAGGATTCAATCTTACAATCTTATTTAATGATTAATGGGCTTAACAAATCTTTGATAATTCCAATATTAGTTACTACACTATTTTTTAATAAATCTGGTTTACAATGCCTCCCAGAATATCTATTCCTAGAATCTGCCACCTAATAGCAGTTCAGCAAAATCTACAGCATTACAATGTAAAACATATTGAAGTACTTAATAAATAAAGAAGTAGAGTATAAATGTCTTAACACAGTAAGAAAATGCGGTGAAGGTTAACCAGTTTGATGAAAATATTTCAAATGGTATATAAAACCAGCACTTTGTACCCCTAATAGCATTAATGTACACAGCTATGATTTAATTAAAAAAATAAAGAAAGAATAATAATAAAGAACAAACAGTTCTTGAGAAAGAGGTGTCATACAAAAGCCTCTTGTATTTTAGAGCAGTGTTAACAGGTTTGCTAAAGCTATGACCAGTTCTCCCTCCTCTCACTTCTCCCACAAACAACAATAAAAAAACCCTCAAGGCTGGGCCCCAGTCGCTCAGTGATTAGGGCACTGGCCCCACGCTCCAGGGCTGGTGGGTTCAAACCCAGTCAAGGCCTACTCAACAACAACAAAAAAAAAAACAGCTGGGTATTGTGGCAGGCACCTACTTGGGAGGCTTAAGCAAGAGAATTGCTTGAGCCCGAGAGTTTGAGCTGTACTGTGAGTTATAATGCCACGGCACTCTACCAAGGGTGACAAAATGAGACTCTCTCAATTTTTTTTAAAATAGCCCTCAAAATATACCCACATGCATACACCTATGCCCACACACACTGGGAAGCCCTGTAATGCAGCCCCTGGCCCCAAAGAGCTTACAGCTGGACAGATTTAACTTAAATATCAACTCTGCCTTTTAGCTGCAACTGAATAAAAAGAATTCCTTATACAGTTTTTCTTTGAATAAGAAATTAATATATATTAAACAATTAAGGCAGTTCCTAGCAAATAGGGCATCTCAATAAATAGCAGCTACTTTTATCATTATTATTCTACTAGGGGTAGAATAGGTTTACCTGGCTCGGCGCCTATAGCTCAACCGGCTAAGGCGTCAGCCACGTACACCTAAGGTGGCGGGTTCGAATCCCCAGCCCGGAC